TGACTGTCCAAACAAGTTGCTATCCATGGCAATAGTTGGCCAACCTACCTTCTTTTTGAATTTATCACAGCAAATTATTTTTGAGCTTAACTGAAAAACATTGATCTAATGTGAATAAGAAAGGCTTTACAATTTATACTAAACCGTATTAGCGGAAAAAAATGAAAAAATATCTATATTTTGGTTTTAAAAAAAAAAGAAATATAAAAACATCTGAATTTTTAGTCGTCCGCTCTTGGAAAGTTGCAAATTTGGATAACGTCCTTAGACTTGTTTACAGCAAATAATAAATGACTCACAGCACAGACGTAGGATTACAACATAAAATAAGTTTTTTGTAACTAGAATCTCTTTTCTTGTAATTAATTAATTTTTCAAATTTGTGCAGTTTTATCTCGTTCTGCATAAAATACACAAATATAAGCCAAAATATAAGCTGTGTCTGATTAGAACACTTGCTCAAGCCTAAAACAAATAGTATTACGCTAATCAGACTTCATTACAAATAAATATATATTCACATTGAATATACCACTTCCAAATTAAGCAATGCAGTTGGCTGCCATTTTAAGAGGGCAATGACCATCTGGAACTGGAATTTGACTAAATTCTCTACAATATAGACAAAGTCCAGCTAAACCAAAGTAGATGCGAAAAACAGTTTTGTTTGTGTCTCCTTTCATTCATGCGAAAATCCTACAATAACATGACAAAATATTTTAGGGTTAATAACACTTTGCCTCCCTGAATCTATGGGGTGTTAACACTTTACCACTCTGTACTTCAAAAAAATATATACTTGCCCCCCAAATGATTATGCTTTGTACTTTTAATTTTGGCTAACTCATGTGCATGTTTTCATCTCAAATTACCCCCAAGCTTCCTAATTTTTCAAAAGTCAACTTTTATATTGTTGTATTTTCCTATATTATATTCACCATAATATTCTTTTATTGCATGCCATGTTATTGGATTATAGTATAAATTAAATAAAAAAAACTCCCCCAACTGCCACCTTATCCTCGCTCTTTTTCACTACCCTATAGGTGCTCCCATTGTGACCACTACTATTTCTTATTTAATATAATTTTTTTAAAATATATATAACATTAATAATAATCACAATTATCAGTCTTTTAAATATTTAGCCAAAAATAACTGCAATTATTAGTCATTTTTTCACATTTGATACTATGCAAAATCTAAATCAATATTTGTGGATTTTTTTTACAAACAATATGCAACGTGTGACAAATAAAAAGTCAAGCAAATTGATATAACAAAATCATACTTTTACTGCAAACATAAAAAATTGTCAAGAAAGACTACATTATTTTATCACAATAAAATACCATTTTGTTCATTTTAAATTACAATGTATACATACATATTAGTACTATAATACATTATATATAAAGTGGGGGCAGGCTGTAGGTGGTGTCCTATTTATATCGATGCTAAATTATACATAAGTGTACACAATGAGTTAATGAAATTGCTGTCAAACATCACATCATGTAGTGGCATAATATTTAATGAATATATAATAAGTAAATGCAACAAACTAAAAGTTGACCATTGAGAAAATATGAAGACTGGGGGTAATTTGGAAAGAAAATTTTGCACATGGGTTTGAAAAGTACAAATATAATTCACTTGGGGGAGCAAAATATATATTTTTAAAATTCAGGGTGGTCAAGTGTTACCACTCGAGTGAGGTTTGTTTGTGTTTTGTTTGGGGGGGGGGGGGGGGGGGGGGCAGTATTTTATTTTCTCAACTTAGAACCTGAATTTGAATCCTAATGAAGCCCAACTGATCTTCTTTTCCATCTTGCTCTTAAAAGCTTCATGAAACTCTTTCAAAGTTGAATGATTTAGTCAGAAGGAGACATCATGACTAAGAGAATTCATTTTGATCCTCCTTCGGATGGATTTTTAGACTTCCAAACTGCAGATGATCACTGCACGTCACATTCTTTACCATTCTGGATGTGCAGATCACCAACAGATTCTGTCTATGAACTTTCTCATTTGCTCTCACCCAACAATTCAACATCTTCTCCATCGTCCTCAAGATTTCAAGCAAACGAAGATGGTAGAGAAGTGCTGATGGAGCTAATAGAAAACATGCCTGAGTCATCCTACGAATTGTCCCTCAGAGACATTATAGATTACCAGCAAAACCTCGAAGAAGAGGCACAAGAGGAGCTGATGATCATGGAAAGAGATTCAGTCCCTAACGCTAAGGTTGTCGTGAAAAAGAATACAAATTCGAGCACCAGAGTTCAATCCTCACAAAGCGGAAGCAATAGTATGAACATCAGAGTTTTCTTGTTAAAGATATTCATCCCAGTGCCTCTTGGTTTCAAGGCAAAGGGAGGCAATAAAAGAAGTTCCTCAAGGATTACTTCAAGATCATCATTTGATGGATCTGAGAAACCAATGGCAAAGGTTCGGTAAACGGTGAAAATGGCCTTTTCAAAGAAAAGGGATAGCAAGACATGTGAGAGTTTGAACAAAAGCATAAATAACAATAGAACCAGCAAAAGCAGGTAATTTCCAGCAATATTCCTTGTGAAAACCAATGGTTTTTTTTTTTTTGTAGTTTCTTGGCACTGAATTTACACCATGCCTTGAAATAACATTAACTCATCGTTTATAGCAAGTCATTAGATGTCTGAAGTAGTACAATTTGGAAGTATAATGGATTTTCTTGGTGAAAGTTGAAATGATTAAATTGGTTTTAGGGGTCAAATGTTTTGTTACCTTGTAATATCTGGAATCAGAGCTGCAATTTACCTAATGAAACATAAACTAAAGCTTGAAGAGAACAAGTTTTACGCTTGTTGATAGTCTCTTTCAGGATGTCATATGGGTTATAATTAAGCATAGCAAAATTCTATAGCAAATTCGCTGTCACAGATGTATCAAACAGAAAAACGGCATCATAAATTTGGGGCCAGAATATCCTATATTACTAGGTGAAACTGTGTAGTACAAAACAAGAGCATTAACTATATGTGGTGTGCAAATGTACAGAACATTAAATTAATTTTGTCTATTAGTGATGCAAATTAGAATTCTGGAATGACCTTTCAGAGTTCTTTCTATACAATTTAAAGCCGAAAACTGCAATGAAAGTGCTCAAGTTTTTGTACTCTTTCCATCCCACTAACCTTGTCAAGTTTTATTTATTCAATTGAATTTCTCAATCTTCAAAACTCTATATGTTCTTTTCATATTTTTTAAGTTTTTCTGAATTCCGAATTTCTATGTTTGTAGGGCTTCATGCCCTACTTAGTAAAATATAGTAAAATAATAAAAAGAAATATTGTATATAGTCATATTATATGAATTATTTCTCAAAAGTACGATTAAAGTTTCAGCTTATAAAATAAGCCAGGCAAAATTACACATAAATAACAGTATAGAATGATGCCAATAAGTTTGAAAAGAATCGAACTAAAATTATGCTTTCATTTACTATGATTTTTAGATGTTAAACTATATTAATATTAGTTTTAATTCACTCATAATTTTTGGATGAGATATTATGTCATCGTGTTTTATCAAAAGTTTTTAATTATATGCATATAGATGGAAAAGGTTACCATGTAAGTCTTTTTTTTTTTTTTTTTCATATCTCATAAGATACATATTTGTTGCAACAAAGATTTTAAAATATTGTCATAAATTTAAGTATTATTCGTGAGGTATAATACATGAAAAATTTATTATTCATTTCTTAAATCCCACTCTTCCTTACTAGAAAAGACTTTATCAAAACTTGTTTTATACTTTTGCAGAAAAGTATAAATATTTTTAGAGCATTTAAAAAATACACATAATACAAGAGTTCTTTCGAATTATATTTACCAACGTCTACTAGTCGAGTATAATATGAATATTTAATAGATTGCATGCATGAAAACTTTACTATTTATGGTCAAATTAATTACTTCTGAAATTTATATAAATGAATATATGCTATTGATTACATGAAAAGTCTCACCATTAAACAAACTTTTTCATTTGCTGTGCAGCGTGGTGAAGACCAACTCTCTATCTTGTTGGCAGTTCCTCAGCAGAAAAGTTTCAAACCAAAGTAGCCACGAATAATGACAGATCTCTTTCTTGTTGCAGATACAGTATAGCTCAATCTTTGGAGACAAGACTTAGTCCAACCCCTTTTTTGACAATGTTATTAGTTCAATAAAGTTCAATGATTTATTTTCTCGAATAGTTTGTGTCAAATGTATAAGACTTCAGCATATTTAATTTAGATCTTATAAGATACACATAAACAAAGTTCACTTTTAAAGTATTGGCAAATCTAAAAGCCTATATTTGAAGGTTCAATTGGATATATTCTGAAGGAAAAAACTTGAATTTTACAAGAAAGAAAAGAACTTGAACTTCAATTTTCTAATTGATTGATATGTGGTCACGTATACTTACTATACACAAAGAAAAGGTCAATCCACAAAATTCCAAGTTGCATGCAAGATTGATCAAATAGCCTATAAACACTAGCAATTTAACTAGAAAGATATTTTTAAGACCTCTGGTTCAATAGTCTAATCTCAACACATGATCTGTTATCATGAATACTGAAAAATGTACGTCTAAGAAAAGTTACTCAAAGTAATAAAAATAATCCGGTAGTTCATTTGGACTTCTAACGCTATTATATATCAACTTGTTTGAAATCCTAAATTATTGATTTCCAATCTTTTCAAAGAGCACTATAATCTAATCCCTTATTAATTCAAACATTCGTGGTCAACACAAATTAATACCAAATTGACTAAATGGTAAAGAAATCCACTCAGAAGAAGAAAATTTTGGATGAAGAAAACAAATGTAGATGGTTGCCAGTTGCCATTTCAAAAGGGCAATGACCATCTAGAAACAAGAATTGACGAATTGCTCTAAAGAGTAAATTAGTCCAACAAACCCAACGTACACGCCAAACCGGTGCTGTTTGCATCTCCTTTTAGCCACACAAAAAACCCACATTAACAAGAAATAAACTTTTACACACACACACACACACACATATAGTTCTCTTCCTAGAACCAGAATTCGATTCTTGAAGCCCAATTGATCTTCTTTCCCGTCTTGCTGTCTCTCTAAAATTACCAACTAAGGATTGATACTTTGAGTCAAGAAAATCTTTGAAAGTTGAATGATTTAGTACTAGAGGGAGGTACGATGAACGGGAGAATTTGTCTTGACTCTCCTTCAAATGATAATCTAGAGTTCCAAACTCAAAAATTCCATGCAGATGGTTATTGGACATCAAATTCTATACCGTACTGGATGAGTAGATCGTCCACAGATTCTGACAATGAAGCTTCTCATTTGCTCTCCAATGATTGTAGTACATCTTCTCCACCCTCCTCAAGATATCGAGCAATCGAAGATGGTAGAAAGGTGCTCATGGACCTGATGGAGAACATGCCCGAGTCATCCTATGAATTGACCCTCAGAGACATTGTAGATGAGCAGCAAAACCTGGAAAAAGAGGCACGAAAGGAGACGATGATCGCGGATAAACCTTTAGTCCATAAGCCTCATGAAGTCAATCCGAAAAAGGATAAAACTGCAAGCACTAGCATGAACAGCAGAGTTTTCTTGTTAAAGATGTTCATCCCAGTTCCTTTTGCTTTGAAGGGAAAGGCAGTCAAGAAAAGAAGTTCCTCAAGGATTATTTCATCTCCGTCATTTGATGGATCTGAGAAACTAATGGCTAAGGATCGGTGCAAGAAAAGGATGGCATTTTCAGAGAAAAGGGATAGAAAGAAATGTGATAGCATCAGCAAAGGCAGGTAAATTTCAATTCATATTCAACTTATTCAGTACTTCCTACTTCCTTGTGTATATATTGGTGATTAGTTCTAACTCAGTCCCATGAGTTCTAGTTTCAAGTAATTTAGTACTATATGCTTTTGTGAATTTAATTCTTAGCATCCCATTAGATATTTGAAATAGTACAATTTTGGAAAAATGATGAATGAACTGTGCTAAATTTGAAATGATTAAATGGGACTATTTGAAACTTAAGGATCAGCGATATTGCCTTGCAATATCAGGAATTAATAGAGCTGCAATTTGCCCAACGAACATATAAGTAAAAGTGTAGACAGCCACTAAAATCGGTCCAGTGGTCAAAGGAGAGTTTTTAAAGTCTTTCCATCTCTAAATTCAACGTTTGAATCCTGTGCCTAATAGTTGAGGGTGAGATAAATGTCCTGAGGGGGGGTAAAAAAGGGGCAAAGTGTGGACAAACACAATTATAACACTTGTTGACTCAAAAAAAAAAAGGTATAACACTTGTTGATAGTCTTTCAAGATATGAGTAATATTTGGCATACCAATATTCTCTAGCAAATGCGCTATCAAAGATGTATCAAACAGACAAACGAGAAAAGAAAATTCCAGCATCATGGATTTTGAGAGAGAGTTTATCGTATTACCAGGTTAAACTTCAAATTTTGAGTGTCCAAATTTACAGAACTTCAAATTATGTCTATTAGTGATGTACATTGGAATTTTTGTAAGGGGGGGGGGGGGTTTAGAAATTTTTCATCTATACATTTTAGAGCTAGCAATTGCACACGAAAGTGTTAAAAATCCAAGACTCCCTCCATCTCATTAATTTTGTCACTTTTCTCGTTACAATTTGTTAAATTTCAAAGCCATATATATCTATATATATAGTTTAACTTTTTTGAAAATTCGAAATATTCTTTGGGTGGTGCTCCATGAAAACTTTAATATGGTGTAGTCATATTTCTTGAAGATTTATGCATATCAACACACGATATTGGTTGACCAAAACCCAAAAAGTAGGAGGTCATGAATGGGACTAGGACACGGGGAGTATTTTATGAAATGGCAAACTTGAGAATGTAATATCATCATTAACAAATTTCTAAACTTGGATTTATTGTGCAGGGATGTTGAGACAACCTACGTATCTTGTTGGCAGTTATTCAGCAGGAAAAGCTCCAAACGGAGACCCAAAGATTCCTGTTTGATGGACAATTAGAAGATGTGTATTAGCATTGCATAATTGAGTCTAATTCCTGTATGGTCAAGTGGTAATAATTTACTTTGATTTGCACTGAACGTGTGCGTCAAATGTATAAAACTTCTGCACTTTAAGGACATTGGAATTAGAGTCAAGTGGTGTAATATATATTTTGCACTAGCATTAGCTAGGGAAGTAATGTGTGTCTTGCATCAATGTTATTTCAGAGAGTAATTGGGAATATAGATATATGATTGTCAATTGCTAGACGCAAATTATTAAATAGGCTAGAGACAAGAAATTCTTGGGTGGTCATATGCCACCACAGATCATGTTAAACAAATGGGAGGAGGGGCAGGAACGGTCACCGTTCCTGAAGATTCATGGCCAAGATTTAGCCAAAAAAATATAGATTATATTTTATGCATCGTTTTTTCACATCATGTGTGAGATCTATAAAATTTTATTCTATAATTACATATTATTGAAAGTGAATTACATTGTATGTATACAGAGTTAAATACTGTGCATTTTGTACAAAACCTTCAGCAATGGTTGCTTTTGCAATTGTTCCTTGCCCCTGCCCAAACAAATGTAGACGTGACGGTTTAAGTTTCACGGTTCCTTTTCCTTTTTATTTTTTTTTGGGCAAACTCAATCTACAGGGTGGGATATCAATCCAGATTTTAATGAAAGATATAAAGTCCTACCTTCCCAATAATTTGCATATGCAAAAATATAAACTCGGAATACTACTCCCTAATCGGAATAGGACTATGTAACTGTTGGTCAAAAAAGGTCTATGCAATTGTTACAGTTCCGAAAGATAGCAATATTTAATGGTGTTAGTTTATGTCTGAAATAGTTAGCCATGCGGTGTTGTGAATCCCACATTGGAAAGTTCGATGATGTTAAAAAGGCTCTAATTTATTTTTTATAAGATCTAATTGAAATTGGATGTTGGAAATTTTTGGAGGAAATTTCAATATTTTAAATGAATTTGCCTTAAATTGATCTTTAGATTAAATTAAATTATATTTATGACCTTAAGAATAGCAAAGGATGTAATGCGATATAATGTCCTCTATAGTTTCAAAATGATTAACTCAAGTTATTTAGTAACTCATGAGTTTAAGCATATGTACATATGGTTTTCACGGCATCACACCAACGTGGGATATTATAATCAATCCTCACTTAAAAAACTTTGTGTCATGTAAAGCTCGTCATAATCCAATATTGTCCACTTGATCAATTTCAGACTCTAAAGATGACCCCTGCCCGATGCAACATTTAGTCTTGGAGGTTCTAGAGGTTGCTCCGTTGAATGTGGAACGTAACTTCTTACATACTCTTGCACAGTCAGAACCATAATATCAATTGAGTCCAGACTCATTTCGCACAGAAATCACACGAAATTTGTTTTGATACCAACTGTAGCACCTCAAATTTACGGGTTGGCCCAACATATAATGATAATAGTAGGATATAGTAAAAAGTGTTCATGCCATATATGTTTTAACTAATTGTGATGTGTGTCTAGAGCAATTTTCTATTACTTTCAAACTTTAGAAAATAGTGGTATAAAAAATATCACTCGCTTAAGAGAAAATATAACTAAAAGATTGACTTCAAAAATCGCAAAAGATGTGTTGATGAAGAAAGAATCTCTAAATGTACTTGCTAGTAAGAGTGCAATGATTCTAGTATCTAGACGACGTAAGGGCTTCTTGTTATATAGGGTCTAACACATGCCATTGAGTCATGGCTATAGACGTTAAACATACAAATGTATGGGTGTCATTTCGGGTAATTCCGATTCCTGAGCTAGATACTGATTTACCTTGCTAAATTCCCAAACCCAAAGTCCAAATGGGCAAAAGATGGGCCAAATTTAAGTCCTAGTCCTAGCCCATCTACAAAAATAAAAATGATAGAAGCTGCGAATAAGTCATTGGGATCTTATTCCTTGCCTCACAGGACAGAGGCAAGCCAGTTGAGCAGTACAATAATGCTTTTTCTGATCAATTATACATCAATATTCTAGAGGTGAATAATATTTCCTTGTTATAATCAATTGTCAATATTCATTCAAGAAATATTTTTTTGATGGTTCTGGGCTTTTATGGCTCTATGAATCTTTCTTGATACCATTTGGGTTGGGTTGCATGTCGACTTATTTATTTGGATTTTAACTAACTCCCACGTAAGGCCAGCCTTGTTGATTTCTTGTTAAAATTGTTTGTTTGTCAAAATTGAAATTGTATGTTTGTTTGTTTGAATGATTTCTTGAAACATTTTGCAGCTGACATGTTTACGAATAGTCGAAGGCAAGAAGAGCGGACTGGAAAATATGGAACTCCCCGGGTAAATTTCCTTCACGTATATCTCTGCTGTAAATAATTGCTATCAGAAATATCCAACTTTTCCTTCTCCAAAATGGTTATAAATGCGAATATGTACTAGAGAAATGTATTTCTTTTGGATTTTTATCTGCTTAATTCGATTGTTTGGGAACATTCATTAGTAGCAGTTGATAGTTAGCATATATTGTTTTCTTTGTTTGCTTTCAGAAATTGGCGAGTCAGTTTCAGAATGCTACTGATGAAGGTATGCTTTGTCCAGTTCTTGTTTAAGCATATTTAATTACTTGCTTCTTTTGTACAGCGTTTATGAGGTTAAGGCATTTGATTAATAATTAGTCTTGACATCAGCTAGTACTAACAGGGTTATAATGCAATGATATTAATTGAACACAGGATTATATACTACGGCTTTTATAGTGCATTGCTGATCAAATAGAATTCAAGTTTTTGCTTAGCTGATATGGAGCTGGTAATGGGATGCCCAGATACCTTCTTTCATAGAAGCTGTGTGACTGCTAAACTAATCCTTTGATCCGTGGAACGTATCGACAGACAGTCGATTTCTTGCCTTTAATTGTTGTGTGAGTATGGACTGCAACCTTTTCTTTTGAGGGGAAATATGCATAGGTGAACAAGGGTCTGAAACGAAAGTTTTTGGACGAATGCCTTACTGCCAGGGATTGGTTGGCATTAAGGTCTAACACCATAGCCAGCAGGTTAAAGGTGGACACTTGATTTTGAGCCAATGTCCTCAAAGGTTGAAAACTCAAAATGGAAAATTTCTTGACCTTGCCACAGTCGCCACAACCCGGCCGGATGGTGATAACGGCTATCTGGGAGTATGAAATGATTCATGTTGATGAGGAATATGGGGAGCTTTTCTGACGAACAGGGTTTACGTTAACATACTCCAAGATTACTGGGTGAAAGGGATTGATGAAGTTCATCTTTTTAGGCCTCATACCTTCTTATATTGCTATCTAAGGATATGATTTTTGTTGGCATATCCTGACCTGTGATGTATGATATCTATTAGTAATTGGTATTCTCCATCATGAGATAAAATATCCTACTAATAACCCTGTTCATCCTGATTTCACTCCTAGGGTTTGTGATCTCAAATTTCTGTGGTATCTATCTGTGAACATCTGTACCTAATTTGGTCACTATTCAGTGACAAAAGAGAGGATTGTTGCTAATCTAGCAAACTTTGAGCAAGTGTCTGGCTACTTGCTCATTACTGCAAACAAACCTCAATATGGCAGGTGAACTTTGCTCTCGGAGCTTTGTATTATCTCTGCAATGCATCAAACAAGGAAGAGATTTTGAAGCCAGAAGTCGTGGATATCATCGTAAGATATGCCTCAGCTGGTGCAGCTAGCGTGAGCTTTAGAAACCTGGCCCGGGCTTTTACCAAGCATAGGAAGTCAAGGGCTGATGACTCGAAGACGTGTAGAAATCTTTTTATCATGTGTTTCATCTTCTATCCTAATTTCTTTTGTGACTAAACATTGCTATGTATATTAAATTGTTTTTACAGTGTGTTTTTTGTGATATATTCCAACTTCAAAATCAGTGCTTCATGATCAAAAGTCTATCACATTGCCAATATAAGTTGGTTCAGTTGATAAGAACAGATCACTTTCTCACAAAAGATCATGTATTTGAAACACTATTTGATGTGGGTCTGTGTTGGCAGGTGATCTGTAATAACTTCTGTAAATGATCTATAGTTCCGAGGTATGTTTTGATATATGATGGTGACCCATCCAAACTTTTCTTTACCAAAAAAAAAAAAAAAACTATCGCATTATTCTAATGACATTTTGTTTGATGGTTCAACTCCCATAAATAGCGAGTAATTTCGAAGAGGCCCTATTTTTTTTCTCAAACAAATTTGCCAATAACAATAAGGAGTGATGGTAGATGAGTCAATTTGCCATTATTCATATTAACATTGTGTCCCATTTGAGTAACATAACAGGGGAAGTGAATGATAGTTATGAAGGTTCAAAAAATGTCAGTGATGCGGTCATATGGAATTTTCCAAAATTTTAAAACTTGTGTCCAACTACGTGAAATTGTCGTAAACCTAAGGGGAGTTTTATGAAATTGTCCCATTAATATATGAAGCTTGACATACAAAATTGATTTTTAGGGCCCTGGTGCTGTCCATACTTATCCATACATAAAGGTAACATTTGACAAAATGACTACATAAGAAAGCTTTGTGTGGCAATCACATATCAATAAAACTTCCAAAAACACAAAAATACAAAAAATAGAATACTAACCGCAATAGATTCCATATGATAACTAGATACCAAAAGCTAAGACATTATCCACTTGACTGAGTCCGCACGCATATTACTCTTTAATCAAATTAAAATAAAGTTCATTCGGTCGAAGGAGACATATGTACAACATCTCAGCATATTACTCTTCAATCAACTTAAAATAAAGTTGATTGATGAGATGATAAAAGTAAACTACATGTAACTTGAATTTTTAATTTTTTTGACTCGATAAAAACTCGTCCAAATTTCCAAGTACACTAAGAACAATCACTTTTCAATTAGATTCGACTCCCAAAATCTTGAATCGTAGCAAATAATTTTTTTTTCTTTCAATAGAAAAACAGTAAACATTAGTTTACTTTCATAAAAAACTCTTAATTAATGAGGAAACAGTAGTGTAGTTTATGCATCGGATCCTGAAGAAGTATATTAGTAGAATGACTTGGTACAACATCTTTTTACATGCATAAAGTTGTCGAGACCGACAACATTTGATCTGACCAAAATACAATCACAAACATTTCTTACAACATCTTCTTACCTTCTAGGGCAACAGATTCACCAAGAAGCTGCCTACCATAGTGATCAAAATCCAAACCTCCCTAATCATCG